ATAACTTTGATTCCATGACATGCAGATGTCATTTGTCTCAGCCTTATCAATTACATAAAGTGTTCAATATAATTTATCTTCGGAATGTTAGGTGTAGTGGAAAGTGGATATACTTGTAGTGAAGCTGGCTATTATTCTTGAAATGAGGGACCTCGTTCATATGGTCATGCGGCTTCATTGGCAACAAATAATGCAAATGACAAAGCAATGCTGCATTTCCAAAAAGCAAATATTGTAAATAGTTATGTAAATAGTGACGTTTACATGCATTGTTGTTAATCAACGTATCTTAGAAAGGATACGGATATCTAGTTCCAAAGGAACACGACCTTTCTGTCATGACAGTAACTGCTTAAATGGTAATTACTCTTTGTGAAATCTATAATATTAAAACGAAACAGTGTTTTTTTTATTTCACGATTCTGAATCAACCACTCGACGGATTTTCATTATTTTTGTGTTGAAAGAAAGGTAATTTTGAGAACTAGGGAATGTCGAAGCCATAATTTTAGTTTAGGGTCCCAGTTTTTTTAGAAATTAAGTTTTAATGTTTAAAAAGTCTAGCAGACGCTAAGATTCTAAACTAGCTTTTGGCATAAAATAATTTGCTTAACATAACAGCTGTAAACATTCAGCTTTTGTGTCAAAAATTCAGCATTTGGATAAAAATGTAAAGACATACTTAGGGTTGACTTATTTATACTATGTGTAATGCTAATCATTGATACTTCAATTCTTCTGTAAGAGGATGATAGATTAATCAAATATACATAGTAAAATACTAGGATGTTCAAATTATTTTTTAAAGCAATTTTTGTAATCTTCGATTTGTTTTAGAGCAATATAATTTGTTTTAACTAACAGCTGGTTAAATATAAACTATGGAACTATGAGGTTATTTTATTTACTCTTATTTTGTCATTGATTATAGGAAATAGGTAAGATTAGTAGTGATAATTAGGCCACAGTTTAAAATAGTTTAGACCAAAATTAATTAAACCACAGTACAAATCGAGGCTCTGTACAGGAGTCTTAATAAAAAAGGATAAATGCATATTATTTTACTGCTCCACTTTTCAAGGAATGATTAGAAAAATAACAATGTTAACATGTTTTAATTCTTCATGGTAGCTTTTTTTTACAATTAATGTTTGTCTGCTTTAACTTTGTTTGGATTAGGCCCGGAAATATTGGTGTCATAAAGAGAAGATAAAGAATAATCAGGAATCACGATTTTAAATTACCACCACAACCTCAGTCGGGTTTTATACAAAGATAAACAAATGGATGACATAGATTGAACACAACGTCAACATTGACCTAGGATACTGCAATTAGACAAACCATTCTTTTATGAAATCGTGTTCAGTGTGGTTACGTTTGGGGGTGCCTATATCAGCGCCACCAAACGTGAAAATATCACTTTTATTTCAACTATGAATATATTGTAGTTTAAATTAACTAATATGGGAAATCACGATGTACATTTATTCAATGAGGGTGGGTAATTATCAAGGATGGAACTGATAACAGTATGGATTATTAACATAGATACGTCAATAACTTTACTAGCGTGTTTACTTTTTAAATTCCTTCAACATGTGACCAGTTATTTTTTTCAAATGAATGTTATTTGAACCAAACAGCTGTTTCAAAACAAACTGTTATTGTTTTAACTTTTCTTTGTTTACACTTATTTATTAAAACGTTTCTATTACCTCGCTTTCTTTTAGCAATTAATGCAGTGAAATTGATATAAAGGATAGATGTGACGATTAGTTTTGATGTTAGGACACCACAGTTAAATTATGTGTACTGTGAATTTTATTGGATATTATCGTTTTATTTTAGGTCGTTTATATTCAGACCTACTGGAAATTGTGTATAGTGGTTGTATTGTGGTGATAATAATTAATTATGGAAGAGGCAGATATGCTATGGAAGGTGGTATCGTTGACTAGGTCTATACACTTCTCACTATTAACTTTCTCTACTGTAGGCTACTTATAATCAGTGTGCGTCTGTGCGAATCGGCTGCAAATCTCACTGCAACGCTTTTCACATCGTAAAAATTGCAGGATTGCTGTTTTATTGTAAAATTATCGGATTTAAAATGCATATCGTAAAGGCCTATGATGGAATAAAAACATATTTGGTCACACAACATTTGTTTACAAGATGATTTTTCACATTAAAACTGCAAGTAACTTTGTTTTTATATGTGTAAACTAGCTGATCTGAATTGTACACGGTTTTAACTGTCTACTGAATTCCCGTACGTAGGACGGGCTAACACCTCGTTTGTTTTATAGTCGAAGTGTATACGGTAGTGTTATTTTCACAAATCTCATTTAAGGCCAACCAAGTGGGCCACGGTCCGTAATAGGCCTCTGAAAAACAACTGTCAAAATGTACGTACTATTTTAGGCAAGGGTTCTGTGTTTGGATGTTATTAGACACGATAAGAGCACAATGAACTTCTTCTGCAGATGAATAATCCATTGGTTAAGAGAAATGTAAGCCGAATTAATAAATGTCACAATCCAAGGGCATTAAAATGGCTCTGGCCTGCACTTTTTTGTAGTACAGTATTGATTTTCGGCATTTTGTTTATGTTACTATTTGGGTAAATTACCGGTGCACTTTGACAAACTTCTTTTAGAGATAAATTAAATGATTTTTGTTGCTAGTAAACATGTACAACCCTTTTCGTTACTTTAATAACATTCTAAGGCTCTATAAGGCTCTATTGTGTTTTCACTAAGCTGAATGAATACATCGAAGTAACATCTCTAAAAAGTCTGCAATAAATTGCAATTTTTGCAGATTAATGACTTTCTAAATTATGCACATATTTCTTCATAAAAATTATTAAACAATTAATCCACTTGCTGTAAACCACTATTAATTTAACAAAATATAGAAACGGCTCATGGACAACGTGCCCTTCTGCCCTTCTGCACTTGTATTATTTTGTATTAGTATTACCATTGACTGTAAAGTTAACGGTATTACACAATCGAAATCTTTTCCAATACCGTAATTGAAAACATGAACGAAAATAATCTCATGAACCTATGATGATCGGTCTTGAATAATGTGACAAAATATCGGCATAAGTGGTCAAAAAGGCAGACACCAACCCGTACAATAGATATAAGATAATTCGATAAGAAATTATTTTAAGAGTTATGTAATATTAAGATATTCCAATGATTCCTTAATTGAACGTTATATTGCAAAACATGATATGATGCAGAACAAGTAAATTTTAAAATCAGAAAATTAGATTGGTTTCTACATGTAAAGGGAATCTACACGGTTCAACAATGTTGATCAGTCTCAATCTTTATTAAACATCTGGCTTAAATGTTCCTACAATGTGCTATAGGTAAATGTGCTAAATAGTTTTGTTAAAATTTCTCTGTAAGGAAGTTTTTAAATATTACAAATTCATATTAAGAACAATAAATTTGTGTCAAATTTGTGTTGACTATGGAATGAGACCACTACTCATTTTACAATGACACCAAACCAGGATATAATTTAGGTGTAAATATGCGATCTAACTCTAGTTAAACAACCAATGACATTTCCTTGGTCATGCTTAGCGAAGTAAGGTAACATTCTGGACTTTAGTAGTTTTTTGTCTATTAAAAACTGCATTTCCATTGGATATTAAGTAAACCAGTAGGTGATTGGTAGTTGGTACATATTTCCTCAAGTGATCAGAATGAGTGGAGGTGAACCGGTTTTAAAGTTCTCTTTCTGGGTGTTGGAATAAAGTTGTATCTCTAGCCTACTCAGTAGGCCTACTGCATGATTGGTTTTACATAAAACTAGAAAACAAAAATCGACAGTAATTATTCTTTTAGTTACATTTATACTTTTAGTTAGTATGGCTGTGCGAGGGAATAATATGACGTGAAGTACGCGTACACAAATATTACACCAACCAAATAATATTTTTCACCACACTATGATGTTATTAGCTGTTTTACATACGTTAATTAGAGGCTGAAAGTTACGTTTTGTTGGCCATGCCAGCTGTCATCGTCATTTGGGGACCGAGCAGGTTTTTACATCCCTAGGGCCGCAAAATCTGCTGACCGCTTGCATATTAAATACACAATCAGGATCCATTTATTTTCACCGTTGCCTAGCAACTGTTTATTATTATTTTTGCTGATTTCTTAAATTACTTCTTCACATAACATTAAAGTTGAGTTGACTATCAGTGTGCATTACTTATTATTGTGTATAGTAGTAGTGTGGTGAAAAATAGTGTTCGTACCACGGGTCGCAATGGTTTTGCAGCTCTCGATCGTTTTAAGCTCTCCCGACTTCGTCTCGAACTTAAAAACTATCTCGAGCCGGCAAAATCTCATTTTCGGCCCTAGGTGCGAAATGTACTATTGTAAGTTTGTATAAAAAATAATACCGGTAACACATTGTTAAAAATCAAACATTCCTTGTAATTTTTATCTTACCACAATGGTCTGCAATGATATAGTTACAATTACAAACATGTATTGACAAATTCAATAAATAATAATTTTACAAAACAATATAAAACTAAAAATCACTGAAAACTTGTTTTAGCCAGTTTTCTGTCACACCATATTTTTATTCTAAAACCCTATTTAGATGACTCTGACACAAGAAGTCTGATTCTCTCTGAAATCAATCTGAGATAATCTCGGCCCCTTCAATAGTAGGCTTCTTCGAGGAATAACAAAGAGTGAGGTTGTATTGGATCCTTAGTGCAAGCAGGCTAAGAAGTCACCATAATCTCTTAAAAAATCCTAAATCATAAAAAGATAGTTTAAAGATCCAACTATAAAACTGTGTTAGCTTATGTTAAACTGTTATGTAAAATATAATACTCATGAACTAAATAATATGCTTCAAACAAAAAATGAATGCAATATCCTTTTTTCCTATACCTCACCTTATATAGGAACGATATGGGAGATTTTTAGAATGTTTGTATTGTGCAGATGATTGACGTGTTGGAAATGGCTCCTATAGAGAACACCCAACTGTCAGTGGAGATATTCTTCTTAATGTCAGGAGTGTTGGTGGCTTACGGCCTCTTCCGCTACTTGGACAAGGGCAAGAAGTTCAACCTAGTACAGTTCTATGTCTACAGATATTTGAGGTGACAATCAACAATATCAGTTTAGTACTGTATAGTACTAAGTTAAGGACAAGAGACAGGCGCTACATTTATACTTTGTATAAGTGCATGACCACTTTTACTCACAAGGCTATTAACCCAGTAACCCAGAGCATTTTACCTTGCATGAAATGGGGTAGTAGGTTTCTTTTTTTTATGTTGTTTGTAATAGTACCGAGTTGCTAAATCCAAATTTTCGACCTCGGCGACCTTCCGGATCACCTCCAAAAAGCTTAAAAATCGGCTGAATTTCGCACTATTTTTACGTTTGTCCGATTTTGACCCTGAAGCATCACTTTTTCCTAAAGAACAACCATAACCATTTTTAAAGTACATTAAATTACCTATCATTTAAGCGTTCTGAAAAGTAGTTCTAGACGGGTGTTTGGACGGACATGACGATAGTTGTATAGAGCAGACTAGAGTTGTATATTTGTATAGAGCAGGTGCTCATTTGCCTAATGAAAAGCTATGTAGGTTTGACTCGGGACCGTGGTGTACAGTAGCTGACACCGTTCTTATCCGATGGACAGTAGGAATGATATAATTTATCTGTAGAATTTAAGTGCTGAGGTTGAGGAGTAGGCCTACTGCAATGTTAAGGCACATACAACTGAGTAGTGTGTAGAAACGAGACCCTCACGAGTCACTCGAGTTGAAGCGAATACAGAGAAGCTGTGTGACTGGTTACTTTGTCACCCTCCCTAATAGTGATGTTATAATGTTTTTAAGCAGTGGAATTGTTGGAAGGAAACTGTCAACTGTCATATGGCTAGAGATATTGGCAATGAAGCGATGACTGGGACGGGTGGCGTCGTCCTGTAGTACTAGGAGGTCACAAATTGTGGATATTTATAGGCATGCACTGTGGATGCTATACTTCCTGGTGTGGATTAACGTCCGCACGGGTGAGTACTACGACTATCCGCAGTACTATCCTGATAATTAGACCAATTCGTATATACCAAGGAAAAAAAGTGGTTCGGATTCCACTATAAACTGTAGGTCCCTTAGTTGCCATTAGCTGTATGGGCTATTAATTAACAGCTGTGTCTAAGGAATATGTCGGCCTTAGTCACTAACAAGACTACAAGATCGCGCCACTCATCATACACTCATCTCCATTCATACTTGGCCTAACATACCTACTTCTCTTGTACATACCTACTTCTTGTATGGTCGCCATTTCAAAGAAAGGTATTAAAGTATTAAAGATGTTGAGAGTTTTATGAGAAAAATATGAATAAGTCAAATACAAAAGGAAGAATAAAGTAGAATCTCTTTCTTCTGATGTTAATACTCTGACTGTTGGCAATATAAAGATGACTATTGACCCCCCCCCCTACACTGTTTCACAGGCTATGCGTTCTGAAGCAGTCGGATGAAGAATGTAAGCACTTCTTTACACATGGATTTTCACCATTACCCTTGTCTCAATTGAATGAACAACTAAATTATAGTTCACACATCCAAACGTCTCAAGTTATTCATACAAGTCAATCTTCAACTGATACCCCTACAGAACGAGTCCATGTCCAAGGGTACAAGGATCATCTAATCACAGACGCAGTCGCCCTCATTATATTATAATGAGTGTTATTATATTATATTATATATAATGTTATTATATTATATTATATGAGTGAATTATATTATAATTCAGTGTTCTCCAACCTGCTCCCGCGGCGATACAATTAAATAAATACCGTTCGTCACGGGCCTATGTTCTATCCACGAGAACCATTTATTGTAACAATGTACGTGTGTGTTTATGTTGATAGATACAATTGATTTATCTGTTCTTGAGATGAAATAAATTAGTTTATTTCTTATTATGGTTCTTTTATAAAACTTCACAAAATTTAATAGCTTGAAACTTAAAATAAAAGCATTTAGGGACGATTTTATGAACCTTGAAGAGGCATAGTTTTAATGTAGTTTTAAAATAATTAATTATGGTTGTTTTAATGAAAAATAATTAGAAAGTTATGATTTAGGGTTAACGCAACGGTTAACGTTTGCCAAACTTAAAAAAAATCAAAACGTTGTAATTTTAGCCGTTGTTTGCTGAGTCATATCTTGAAAACTATAAGGCCTGTAATAGCCATTTTGGTCTAAGATTATAGGTAATCCAATGTACTTTAAAAATGGTTATGGTTGTTCTTTAGGAAAAAGTGATGCTTCAGGGTCAAAATCGGACAAACGTAAAAATAGTGCGAAATTCAGCCGATTTTTAAGCTTTTTGGAGGTGATCCGGAAGGTCGCCGAGGTCGAATATTTGGATTTAGCAACTCGGTACTATTACAAACAACATAAAAAAAGAAACCCACTACCCCATTTCATGCAAGGTAGACCCTGATTTTTATAACAAGGTTGCTGGGTTATACATATATTTACCAGAAGAAAATTTAAAAAATTGTATTGGAAAAAATAGGTATATTAGGTAACCAAAACTATAGGTGATCTATGATTGAAATATTTAATATGATCAAAATTATTATAAGCATCATGAGGATAACATTATTATTAATGTCTCTAAAATATTTGAATACCATGACAAAGTTATAAACAGGTAGGCCTATGCAATACATCCATGTAAAAGTAAATAGCTTCTTTCCTAGTTTTTTAGCGAATTTCCCATATAGGGAATAAGCTATTACCGTAGTACTCATGGTAAGACCTGGACCCGGGACCGATTTTTTTTTTCGTTTTGAGGTCCCTAGAGGCCAAAAACACCATCCGTTCAAATTCATATATATATGTTTCATATATATATAGGGTGTTTCACAGGAACCCTGACAAACTTCAGGAAATGATTCCTGGGGTCAAAACTGGTAAAAAATGTCCTGTAAGCATATGTCCTAAACTCAATCGTTTGCTATTTATACGTAAAAATGTGTTTTTTTAGGTTTTCAGTGTATCTGTTGAACATTTTAACCTCTAGATTAAAAAATCTTCAAGATATTTTAATTAAACTTGCATAGCTAGATAGAATATTAAATTACAAAGAGATTTCATTAATATTATGTGCACACATGTTGGGTATGACTGAGAAAAATGAGTTAAAAAATCAAATTTTCCCGAAAAAATGATAATCCAAAAATATTTTTTATTTTTGACAGCTCTTCATACTTAAACCATTTAGTCGTTTGGCTTGCAACTTTACCAAAAGTTGTAGAATTTAATGGAGAACAATAAAATATCAACTTGTGTATACCTTTTATGGGGATTATCTTTATCAAAATCAAAAATATTGTAAGGTAACACATATTAATTTAATTTGAAGGAATAAACAAAAATGTATATTTAGCTTATTTATAAACATACCTCACTAAAAATTCGTATATTGGTTTTCCTAGTTGAGAAGGTTCGTATAAAGGCCTAAAATCCTCCATCCTTTTCATTTTTTATGGTGTAAAACAAGCATACTCACTCACTTTTCTATGTTAACCTTATAGGGAAAAATAAAATATGACAACTTGCAAATTTCTGAACATATCTTATTAAAACTTGGCTTATGACTTATTTTGATTGAGGACTTTAGGATTAATGCCAAAAATTCCAGTTTTATATTCATTTAATCAAAAATATTGTAAGGTAACACATATTAATTTAATTTGAAGGAATAAACAAAAATGTATATTTAGCTTATTTATAAACATACCTCACTAAAAATTCGTATATTGGTTTTCCTAGTTGAGAAGGTTCGTATAAAGGCCTAAAATCCTCCATCCTTTTCATTTTTTATGGTGTAAAACAAGCATACTCACTCACTTTTCTATGTTAACATTACGAGGAAAAATAAAATAAAATAGCTCTCATATTTCTAAGTACATATTTAATTAAAACTTTTTATTTGACATAGTTTAATTGGAACTAAATAATTATAACCTAGTATACCCAAGTTTTACATGTTGTGGTATGTTTTTAATTAATATTAATATAATAATGTATCATAATAATTTTAATAAGCTTTAAATTACTGCAAATTAAAGAAGAAAAACAGTAACTAGGGAAACATCATTCTTTTTTTGCCAATATAAACTATGAAGGCTTGAAGTAAAGTTTTTTTAACTGATGAGGTTTTCAAAATGGCCTCCATTTTATTTTTAGACAGACACAGTCTAGCACGTTTAACCAGAGATGATGTAGCTGCTCTTATCATGATAGGATTACTTTTTATTGTTTCTGCTACGGTGTGAATCTTCTCTACCAGCTCTTCTCTTGTTTGAGGCTTGCTTCTGTAAACTTCTGTTTTCATGTATCCCCATAGGAAGTAATCCATCGGAGTCAGGTCGGGCGACCTAGGGGGCCAATTCACTGGTCCTTGATGAGCAATAAGTTTTTCCTCGAAACGGTTTCTCAGCGTTTCAACTACAGCTCGACTCCTGTGTGGGGGAGCACCGTCATGTTGATAAAACATCCTTGCCATTGACTGGATGGGAACATCTTCGAGCAGTTCCGGCAAAGTGTTGTTTAGGAAATGTAGATAACTTACACCGTTTTGAGCACCATCTAAGATGTGAGGTCCTACAAGTTTGTCATTTAAAAGACCGCACCAAACATTCACCGAAAACCTCTGTTGAAAGTTTGTCTCCACTGTGGCATGTGGATTGTCTTCGGCCCATATGTGGACATTTTTTGAGTTGTTTATTCCATTCCGAGTAAATTGAGCTTCATCAGTAAAGAGTATGAACTTAATTTGGTGACGATTTCCTGCTACCCAGCGACAAAACTGAGACCTTCTTAGGGTATCACCAGCGTGAAGCGCCTGAACCTTTCTTAAGTGATAAGGATATAATCCTTCATTATGTAAAATTCTCCAGGTTTTAGAAATAGACACCAGGTGCTGTCGTGAAAGCTTTCTTACGCTTGTTCCTGGGCTTTGCTGAACAGAGTGTAAGATGTCATTTTCAACCTCTACAGGAGTTTGAACTACACCGTCAGGGACAACTTTTCTAACACATCCTGTCTCCCTTAGTCGATTAAATAGATCTGTAAATACTTGCCTATTAGGCGTACGCCTATTGGGAAATCTTCTAGCGTATTCTTGAACGGATGATCTTGACTTTCCATCACAAAATCCATAAATAAATACCATATCTGCATATTCACTGTTAGTGTACATGATATTCACTGCCAATAACAATGGACTGGAAATTCAATGTAAACAAAGTATGCAACAATAAAAATTGCATCTGACCGAGCAAAACAGATGATTTATTAACTGCATTTACAGGTTTACCAATATTCTATTTAATTCAAAGCTATTTTTAGTTGCACACTAAAAAATGTAATCAATTACGAAATAATAACAACAAATATCGATTTTTCAAATACCTGAACCCTTATAATCCGATCCCTCCTGAAACCCAATGAGCTTCAGTTGGTAAATGTTAGGATTTTAAATGTTTATAATAATGCGTCCAAGTTAGTGCACTTCCTAGATTTGTTGAAATTGATTGAGTTGTAAAATATTTTACTTTCTTCCATAAAATGTTTTCACGTCAACCTATACTAACTATGAAGAACTTATTTTTAAAATAGCATTTACATTTTTAAATTTAAAAGGTCAAAACGTCCATTAGGACTAATAGTTGAAAAGACTAATTATTTCCCGTAAAGGATAGGATTGTGCTAGTTTTGTGCAAAATGAATATAAAACTGGAATTTTTGGCATTAATCCTAAAGTCCTCAATCAAAATAAGTCATAAGCCAAGTTTTAATAAGATATGTTCAGAAATTTGCAAGTTGTCATATTTTATTTTTCCCTATAAGGTTAACATAGAAAAGTGAGTGAGTATGCTTGTTTTACACCATAAAAAATGAAAAGGATGGAGGATTTTAGGCCTTTATACGAACCTTCTCAACTAGGAAAACCAATATACGAATTTTTAGTGAGGTATGTTTATAAATAAGCTAAATATACATTTTTGTTTATTCCTTCAAATTAAATTAATATGTGTTACCTTACAATATTTTTGATTTTGATAAAGATAATCCCCATAAAAGGTATACACAAGTTGATATTTTATTGTTCTCCATTAAATTCTACAACTTTTGGTAAAGTTGCAAGCCAAACGACTAAATGGTTTAAGTATGAAGAGCTGTCAAAAATAAAAAATATTTTTGGATTATCATTTTTTCGGGAAAATTTGATTTTTTAACTCATTTTTCTCAGTCATACCCAACATGTGTGCACATAATATTAATGAAATCTCTTTGTAATTTAATATTCTATCTAGCTATGCAAGTTTAATTAAAATATCTTGAAGATTTTTTAATCTAGAGGTTAAAATGTTCAACAGATACACTGAAAACCTAAAAAAACACATTTTTACGTATAAATAGCAAACGATTGAGTTTAGGACATATGCTTACAGGACATTTTTTTCTAGTATTGACCCCAGGAACCATTTCCCGAAGTTTGTCAGGGTTCCCGTGAAACACCCTGTATATGTGTCCGTTAGCGCGATAACTCGAGCAAAAATGATCCGATTTTGATTAAATTTGGTACAAACGTGTAAACCTACGTTTATTCGAACGAGTTCGCGAACCAGCATGATCAGACCATGGAAACGGGGGTTTATGGGGGGTTTTATGGGGTAAAAATGGGTTTTTCCCATTTTTGACCCAAAAAACATCAAATTTTGCAATTTCTTTCTAAACTATTTTGAAGAGCTTAAAAAAACAAATAATTTAGTATATCGAAGCGTTATAATGCGCCTAATGGTTACGGAGAAAATTCCAAAAAATTGCAAATTTAAAATTCCCATATTATTCTTATGGAGAATAAGTAAACTGTTGTAGTTTGCTTGTTTATTAACATATTTTGCCCAAATTTGGAACATGTTTTTATTTCTTACTAACAATTAACATTTTACATAAAAAAACACTTTTACCCTCCCTGTTGCAGCAAACCTAAGTATGTGTTAAACTGATTCTATTTAAATAGGGATAAATGTGATATTTTTAAGGAGACATTTTAGTGTAAATCCAATCAGGCAAATGGAAATTCGCTTAGTCTGCAGGTTTGCTGCGGCGGGGGTATTTTAAGCTTAAGGGGAGTCCTAAACAGAACAAATTTTGTCTTTCAATTTTCAAACTTTTGCTTTATATGTAAATTTAAAACTTTCTGAACATTAAATTATTTAAAATGTAGACTATATTGTTTTAAATATACAGGTAATCTTATATATTAAACAAATTTGGTTTTTCTTTTCCGAATTCGGTAGGCTCTTCTACCCGACCGAATTTTATGATTAAGGTCTCAAATCGAAGGTATGCACGCACAGATTTGCCATCAAGCATTGTAATATATTTATCTATAATCCCACTCGGCTTATACGTAACCGAAATTTGCTCCCCATGTATTTCTTATGGGAGTTAAATTTGGTTTCCTTTTCCGAGTTCGTTTGGCTCTTCTACCTGACCGATTTCTACCGAGACCGATGTTTGAGGTCTCGAATTGAAGGAATGCAGGCACAGATTTCACATCAAGCATCGGCATATATTTATCTATAATCCCACTCGGCTTATACGTAAACGAAATTTGCTCCCCACGTATTTCTTATGGGAGTTAAATTTGGTTTTTCTTTTCCGAGTTCGTTTGGCTCTTCTACCCGACCGATTTTCATGATTGAGGTCTCAAATTTAAGGTATGCACGCACAGATTTGCCATCAATCATCGGCATATATTTATCTATAATCCCTCTTGGCTTATATGTAAACAAAATTTGCTTCCTATGTATTTCTTATGGGAGTTAAATTTGGGTTTTCAAGGATTTCACATCAAGCTTCGGCATATATTTACCTACTGTATTACTCGACCATAAAACATAATTTGATTCATTTAGAATTTTTACTTCAATTTAAGATGTATTTAACCAGTTATAATTACATAATCCTATATATTTTGGTTTAAGAACCTTCAGTGAAATTCCGGCTTTCATTTAAGCTTTTTGTTATTCAAATCGGACGAGTTTCAAGCAAACGCAATGTGAACAATCTACATAAACATTATTTTTCATAAGGTTTTTCTATGATTAAAAATCAATCTCTCCAGTATTGTTTAGGGTTTTTATATGTTTTAGACTCAAAATAATCAGTAAATTATAGGCTTTAATTTGAGCTATTGATCGTTTGAATCAGTTAAGCTCAAGATACTGGATTACTCAATCAAAAATCATAAATTTGATTATTTTTCGGATATAATATTTATTTTAACACTGCGGAGCAGCATGGGTCCTCTAGTTTATACATTAACCCACTAAATATTTTTAATTTTTTATGTGCTCTTCTTTGCTCGTCACAAGTATATTCCCATCACAACACACTAGAGCTCAGGTCATCCCATAAGCAAGCTTCCTCTGTACAAGTACTCTTATTGACTCTTATTACAAGTAGTCTACCACTTCTCAGTGGGTTTGTACAGTAGCTGAACTGTCCTATTCTCTGCAGTTTTTAAATACTAAAAGGTCAGAAAAAACCTTCCCCTCCATTAGGGGAAGTTTTTAAATATGTAGAAGTATTAAAATATAGTTTTATTTGTAATCTCCCATGGAGTAATCCATTCCCACGTTAAAGCTGTAATCATTTTTAGAAATAAAATGGACTTGGTTGAATATTGAGCCATTGATAGAATATACTGACATTAATGAATGCGCTCAAACTGAAATTGCAATCTACCTATTGCAACCTAAATAACATTAGGTTTGACGAGTACCTACGTTTGCTGCTACAAGGAAACTAATAAAGTGTGTTATTTAGTAATGTACCTATTAATAATAGCTTAATATAAAATAAAAAAATTGGTCAAGTTTGATCAAAATATATTTATAAACAAGCAAACTATAACATTTTACAATATTATCCATAAGAATAACATGGTACCTAATTTTAAATTTACAATTTTTTGAATTTTCTCAGTTACTTGTAAAAAAAGATATACTAAATTACTTGTTTTTTTAAGCTCTTTAAAAAGGTCTAGAGAGAAATTAGGGAATTTTGTGTTTTGAGGGTCAAAAATGAGAAAAAATAATTTTTACCACATAAAACCCCCTGGAAAACCCTGTTCCCATCGTCCGATCGAGCTGGTTCACAAACTCAATCAAGTTTATCCTGCCTTACACCTTTAAACAAAATTTCATCAAAGTCGGACAAAAATTACTCAAGTTATCACGTTCACGGACACACACATATATATATATCAATTTGAACGAATGGTGTTTTTCAGCTCTGGGGGCATCAAAATGAAAAAGTAAATCGGGCCCAGGCCTAAATACTGTATTGTCTTACTTCACCACCTACGGTAATAGCTACTTTCTTATAGGGAAATTTGCTAAAACCAAAGGAGAAAATATAATTTTATGCTTTTAGCTCTATAGAGGCCTCTATGTTCTTTTGAAACAAAAATTGGCTAAAGATGTCTCATTTATTGGGATGTCTACTTTAGTTTTCAGAAGTCAATTGTAAATAAAACTTTGATTGTACAGAAGTTTCTAAGGAGAAAGAATAACTAATAAAAAAAAAACACAAACTGAAGGTTTATACCTCAACCAACCAAATACAAAATAACAATAAAGGTCACAATTTCACACAGCCTATAGATTTAGCATGTTTATCGTTCATGCTGAATACATGTTCTGCTGTAGACTCACCCCTACACTGGCTGCGCTGGTGTTACTACAAGCCACCATACTCAGGCGAGCCACTGATGGTCCTCTCTGGCGTAGGATGTTCTATGACTACCAACACAACTGCCAGACCAACTGGTGGTCTACTCTGCTTTACATAGCTAACTATGTCAATCCAGTGTCTATGGTAAGTTAATTGTGTTGTTTGGATAGTCATAGTTCAGGGATTTAGGATGTTTAGGGTATGACAGATTTGTTTCCATTCATTAGTTTTAACTTAATGAGTATACTCTTATTACTTGTTAATACTATTGAAAGAACTACCTTTAAAAAAACAGACTTATGAAGTGGCTTGTTCAGAGCAAATTGTGCCATGTTTAAGGGTCTCTTGGATTTTGGTAGAAGCAACTTTTCATTGCAATTCAAAAGTAATTTCAATTGTTTGTTAATTCATAAACTTGTTCAATTTGATATGGAACTCCTGAAAGTTCTACCAACTGTTAGCTTTAGAGTTACATTTAAAAAGGATTTTAGTGTTTCCAAGCTTTACAGAACACTGCAGAGCCTACTCAAAACTATGCAGTTCAATGCAGTCGTTTTCAGGCCATCCTGTTACGTTCACTGCGCTCAAAAGGCAGTGTATTGTGCATAATGAAGCTAAACGTTATGACACATGTGTCATTTGTTTTGGGTTGTGCAGTTGTCTATTGTGTGTTACTGTTTCAATAATGCCTTGTTCTTGTTTGTTTACGGCTAGTCGACATGAAGAGCTTTAAACTAAAATCCTACAACCACAGGTAGTTGTGGTGTTTTGTTGTTTTTTGTGAATTTTACCACAATAAAACTTTTTTTCTCTTTTTGGAGGATGACAAAAAACTGCTCAATACAAGGGTTTGTAGAATTTGCCAGTGAAGGAAGATCCCTAAAGGGTATGTTGGGGTTTACCAGTGACCATGTGGTGTTGGAGTGGGCTATTTTCCCTCTTGGTCTTGTTCCTTTCTGGCAACCCACTAAAAAACTTCCCCTTTCTTCATCACTCATGTTGCATTCTGGCCCTGTAACAGTTTTTCATAATTTCTTCAGGACCAGATGGGATTTTAGTTTCTTAGCTATTCTGTTTTAGCTGGTTTGGTATTTTAAATCTCATTCTGACGATGTTAACTAAACTCGTAAATTTCAAATGGTTTTGTTCCAACTCGTCAACCTATTTAAATGGTTTCTGATGGTACTGGCTTAGGTGACTCAGTGACTTTCTATCCCACTCTACCCAATCGATTTGGCAGGAAAAACTAGCCACTAGCTGCAATGCTTTTCTGAAGATGTTCAGCTCAAAAATACTCAATGTTTGCATTATGCTTAGCTCAGGTCAGGATTGCATTTAAAAATTGCAGCTCGACCTGTAGGTTCTGTCCAGTAACCAGTTATTAAGCACTGCTTTGGAGTATACTTCAGACAGCAGTATGATGTATGTGTGCCTTGCGTTCTAGAGAGCCAAACATTGAGTTGTTGAGCTTTTTCTTAGGTTCACTTGCAAGAACATAAATGCACATGACTCTGGAGAATGTTGTTTTGTTATCATTTAGTAGCTTTCTCGGTCTCTTCAAGAGCTTCCCTCAAAATGGCACACTTTCCGGAACTCATCACGTAATTGAGTTGGTCCTCCTCCAACTTAGGCTGAACAATTCTTCTAAACCACAAACACTTATATACCTTGTATATCAGAGTGTTGTTTTGCAGTGTGTTCCTCAGGCGTGGTACCTGTGTGCAGACTTCCAGCTGTACGTGTTGTCTCCGCTGGTGTTGCTCCCACTGTGGCGCCGTCCTCGAGTAGGCCTCACCATCACTGCAGTGCTAGCTACCCTCACTACAGTTGCTGCTCTCATCAACGCTTACACGGAGGAGCTCAAGGCTGGAGGAGCTGTCACACTGTGAGCATTCCCTTATAAGGCCAATAGTTAAAACTTGCTGTCATCTTGATGCTCCTTACGCATTTCTCTGCTAAGAAGATGGTTCTCTGTAAGAAGATGGAAATAGCACAACTGACTCGATTCAAATCTGTTGTTGGCTAACAACACCACATAAATAGACACTAAACATGGTAGAATTTCATGTTAGCAATGATTCTCGAGTAAAAGTTAATTTTTTTTTATGATGTAGGTACTTACAAGAACCAAACAAATGTTAAACAAAAAGCCCTGATTGTATATTTGTTTAGCAGTGATAAACTCAGACACCGCTGGACCGGTGGCCACAAAACTTGGTACATACATGTAGAATTTCATGGCCATTTTCATAGCCCTAGGACTGTCTTAAAGGTACCCATGTGAGGGATTTTGAGAGAGTTTTAGTTAGATTTGTTTACTAACAAAACATATGAAAGTAAAATAATATTGAATATGCATCAGCTGTTACATTTGTTTTAAATAACTTCTTGATCAGCATTGTACGTGTTATTAAATTTACGGGAAGTAAATAAAAGGAACATCTTATAACACTTAAAACATATATTTACGCTTATACTGTTACTCACAAGATTTTTTCACTTACCATCTTTTCTGTATATTTATCGTCTTAGAAAAGATGGTAAGTGAAAAAAAAGATCGATTTGTTTTAATTTATAGTTTGTTTACTTTTTCATTCTTTTGATTCTGCCACACAGTTTGATACAAAAACAGAAGAGATTTTCATTTAAAAAATCAATAACTTAAGTACAATTGAGATTTGCCTGTATAATTAGCATTGTAAGTGTGTGTAACTGTCTTTTACAATAGATTTCGAGACCTACATTAATCTCTTAAGTATTCTTGTCCCGTTGCGAAGCACGGCAGAACAACTAAACCCAATTTAAATAACCTTGTAACTTCTCTGTTACAACTGTATGTGTTTACTACTATGCTTAGCTATGTGTTTGTCTGGTTTTTAAAATCAATGTATAATATATTTTAAACTGTGAATTTGTGGATATGAATTCAGTGATATTGTCTAACTAGAGTAAAATATTTGATATCTTTGTGGATTGTACTGTTATAGTGATCGCAGGACGGAGGTAAACAACACCAAAGACTACATTATCACCCATCTCCGAGCTTTCTCATTTTTGCTGGGATTGGCACTTGGCTACCTTTTGTTCCTCATCAAAAAAGGAAAGATCATCATCAAGCTACCTACAGTTAGTAAACACTACATTACTCTATATACTCTTTAACAACACAATAATAATCATTTACTTATATAATAATTCAGTTTTAAAAATCAGCTAAATCTACAGTTCTACTCTACTGGACTGATTTTATTAACTAATGGGTCGTTGGAAAGCTTAATTTTTTGTAGATGATTTGCAAGTAATTATGAAAGTTTGTTTTTGTTATGTTAAGGTGAAAGATTATAAAAAACATGTTTTCCATAAGAAATACATTGAACCCCCGTTGGTTTTCACATTTTTTATTTGGAGGCAACTTTTAGCTGCCTTTATTGGGAATTTTCAAGAAATGCATAGTACACATTAATTTGTAGGAAATTTGATTCTCTTTCAGAATATCACCTTCCACTTTGGTAAATTTTCTAAACATTTAAAAGTTATTTTCAATAAAAGCTAATCATCCTAAGAATTTATTGTGGTGACAAAATACTGAGTTAAAGATATTTTTGTTAAAAATTAGTACAAATAAATCTAGACTTCTACTGGGCCGATTTTGTTAATAAATGGTTATTGGATAGCCTAATTTGTGTAGATTTGCAAATAATTATACAAATTTTTCCCCCATATGAAAAATGTGTTATAGTAGTTTACGCAGATTGCATACAGATAGTGTTAACGACACAAGTAGAAAATTTAAGGTACGAGCCTTGGCGAGTGCCTTAAAAACTTCTACGAGTGTCGTTAACACTATTTACGCGAGTTGCGTACACTACTTAAATATTACAGAGACACAAAGTTTCACCCTCAGAAAGCTTTTAGAGCCCAGAGGAAATGAAAGGTTTGAGAGGACTAAGTCCTAGAACCCGCGTCACGGGAAAACATAAAATGCCAAATATGATGTAATAATCCTAGCAACAGAACCCGTTGTGGTTAAATGCAACGGTCTCAAGGAAAATAATGGTTATGAAATTCACCAGTTTACTCACTAATAATTATTAGTACAGATTAAGCACATAACTTTAGAAACACACACTTTAACAACAAATGCAACATGTAAACTAAGAAAATGAAAAAAAAATGAAAAAGAAAATGAATACTAAATTCTTCTACTACTTTGTTCCAGTGGAAGCTCTGGGTTGGTTGGGTTGTCTCAGTCTTTTTTATATTATTCAGCATCTTCTTTGTCAACTACTTCCTGGCTCCCTCGTACGTGTACAACCCCATTGTAGACACTGTTTACCACATACTCCACAGACATCTGCTGGCTCTGGGCTTCTCATGGATCATCCTAGTGTGTACTCTAGGATATGGAGGTGAACACAAAAACATTATAAAAATAAATTGGATGTCTCGTAAGTAAACAGCCAAACTCCAGGAAATGGCTGTATGGGTTACAATAAAGAGAAATCCTAATATGAATGGTTTTCCAAAAACACTAAATGGTTTAAGCAATAAAATAAAAACCAATCACAGTTGCTATTTCATTTCCATAAGGTGCATGCTATTAAAAATACTCGTAATATAATTAAGTTGACAACTTTAAATCAAATGTGTGAAAAATTGACAAACTTAGCTGATTTTTTGTGTAGGATTTGTAGACAAGTTCCTGTCTTGGAGAGGTTGGATTCCCATGGCTAGACTGACATACTGTGCCTACCTCACTCATGTGTTCATTCAGAACTCACAAACTAACAGCATGAGGACTACCACGTCTCTGCATTCCACCTACGTGATAGTAAGTGTTAGACAGTTTACATGAAGATATGACATGAGTGTTGATATAATTACATCAAAGAGAATTAAATTATCTTTTCCCATCTCCTAAACCACCCTAGCGATTCCTCCCCCCCTCACAACCATGAGGGGAGATGGGTACATGTTACCGTGTGTCAAAAAGAATTCAATAAAATACAAAGAGAAGTAAACCTTTATTTAACTTCAGTTTAAAAACAAAAAAAAAAAACATTATTAGGGAGAATACTTGCTACTTAAAATGCAAATCTAAGTACTCATAAAATTTGATGCTATTTTAATATGGAATAAATCTGACAATTTTAAGGAAGTGTTTTAGTGAAAATCCAACTAGGGCCTATGCAATTAGAGATTTGCTTGTTTGAAATGATCAGTGGACACCTTATGTTACCATGTAAATACATTTATATGTGAATTTGAATGGATGTGGTTTTTTGGCCTCTGGGGACTTGAAAAAGAACGAAGTAAACCGGTTCTGGGTCTAGGTCTTACCATAGGACCTACGGCCATAGCTTATTCCTTACGTGGGAAATTCGCTAATAGTGGTTGTTTTCATTCCCATTTACATATGATCAGTGGTTTAGTTTAGTCGTAAAGTCTTTAATGCGGGAATGCTAACCATTGTGGTATAAAAAATAAGGGTTGTCTATCAATATTCATCATGTCACCTTTGTTCATCGAACAAGTTGTTCTTTGGATAAAGCGCAGTTCCCATGCGTTTCCACTCCACTACTCCACTACATATGATCAATATAATTTATTATATGTTGACAACAAGCTTTAGTCAATATCAACATACTTAAACATTTCCAAAATTAATCATATTTGAAAACCAGTAACTATTTTCAGAAATTGGTAAAAAAACGTTCTTCTGATAACCTATTTTTCTGTTAGCCTACATATTTCTCTATTTATTTACAACATGGAAGCGAAGGGTTAATGTTGTAAAGAAACTTTGAAATTGTGGGTCCAAGCATAAAAAAAAAAAAAATTTAAATGGCTTAGGAGTTGTTAATCAAAAATTAGATCTGGACGTTCATATGACAATATCGTCAATATCATTAGTTTGGTTAACACTTACAATGTAACCTGTGTTGCAGTATTTCCTCTTCGCAGCAGACACAGTGATCAGTTTCCTGTCGGCTGCAGCTCTATACCTCATTGTGGAAGCTCCTGTAGCTAATATCACCTCTTACTTTTTTGAAGGTAAATTTTATCCTCACTTTTCCTTTCTTTTTTATAAATATTCATTTCTTCTAAATATTTGAGACAAAAATATGCCCCTAGCCAACACCAAAGAAGGACCACGCATCGTGTTTTATAAAACACCAGGTTATCAGTTTAGGCACTGGAATCAATGGTTATTGGTTATGTTATAACTTAGTTTTCAGTTAACTAAAAATTTGATTAACACTCAACTTGGATTACATTATTTTAGCAAATCAGTTTGTAGAATAAGTGTGCATCTGCATGGCAAGCTAGTCTCCTTGCATCTAAAGATTGCATGCCCTCTACTAATCCTTTCTGAAAAGAAAAAAAGAAAAAAAACTAGAAAACTCTTTTAATGAGGTTGCTTTAGTAAAGTATTTCTTTACTAGCATACTACCTGTTGTAATATTTTAAACCATGTGCTGGAAAGACAGGCGGATACATTGCAATTTGTGTGATGGATAGTACGGTATATACTGTATTTGAATTTTAAAACGGGCACCTAAATTTAACTTGAATATGTGTTTTCCAAAAAACAACAACTCTAGAATAAAGAGAAGCAATACTGTATTTTCTTGTGTGTGTGTGTCCACGGCAATTCCTGATACCAACACCTGACACTCACCCTTGAAACAGCTTTAGTATCTCATGTTATATGTTTGTGAAAACCATTATTAGTAGGCCCTACTGCATTCTAGAAGATGTAATGGCTTTGAAAATTGTAAAACCTCATAAATCAGCACGTTAGATGGTTTTAAAATTTTGTTACCTGACACACTGCTCAGTGTGTTGTTGACCATTAAATCCACAGACCATTGGTGATATATTCAGAAGCTCCATAACATTTTCATGGCAAAGTTTCAAAGTAAAGCTTTTGTGATAGATAAGTCATGCAGAATGTCATAAATCTTGATATTAAAAAGTTTTATGTTTTATTTCAGGAAATAAAAAGCCAAAGAACAGTGAAGACACATCAAACAACGCACCGACCCTTCCTGTCTTCAAATATAAATCGTCTTCGTGACAAATTGCTTAAGAAAATTAATCAGCCCAATATACTAGTCTTGGATATATGTGCACACATGACCAATGTGAAACTAGTATTTGCAGACATCACATAGGCTACATGTTATTTATAAGTAGACTAAACCTACACCTGAATACCTGATACATTGACAAGTATATGGTAATCAGATTAATGTCCATGGAGTTAGGGGCTCAGTGTGCATATTCTCTAAAGTTTACAAGCAAGCCAAAATACTCTTATTGTAACTGGTATTGTAACTTGTATTGTTATTGTAACATTGAAAAATCTTTAAGATCACTAATTCTTACATACCTCAACAACGGTTGAATAATTTTTGAGTTCATTGATAATTTTATTTGATTGAGGTAATATTTAAATAATTAATTAATTAATTAAAAGCTAAGTGTTGTAAGATCACCTCAGCCGCAATAGAATGATGTTTTTACTTTTTTCTTTTCATTTTATAATAAGTTAGAGTGAAGTTTTAGTGTTTATGTTATTTTTTTATGATGATTTTAGTTAGCAAATTAAATGTTTGATGATGTGTACTTAACTACTTACTCAAATGTATTTTCTATAGTCTGTTAGTTTTTAAAACTGAGGTTTTAATGCACACATATTATATTTATAAGGACTGAGGAGTAAGGATTTATATTATATAAATATTTAATACTATGCACAATAATACTAATTTTAAGTAACCATTTGGCTATACCACATTTTTTTTTAAGTAACCATTTGGCTATACCACATTTTTAAACACACATATAAGAATGCCAGATAGATAATTTACTTAATAATATCCATTGTTGAATCAGGTACAAATAGAAGAATCTCAAAAGTGTTAACTAATGACAACACAAATTAAACCCAAATGATTGAACACTTAAATTTTAGAGATAATAATTGATTAGAAACAATAAGAGGTAAGGAATTCTTAATCAAGTTATTCCTAAAGCTGGGTTTTCCTAGGCGCGGAAATGGTGAGCGGAGAGCGGACTCCACTTGTCTTAGGTAGTTTAATGTTACTGTTTTCCTAGAAGCGGAGCGGAACACCATGTTAATCTCTTTTCCGCTCTCCGCGTTCCTCTATCCGCTCTCTGCTTCCTCGCCTAGGAAAACCCAGCTTAACTGACAGATAACTGCCTAATCTAATAGTTTATAGTAAGTTTATAAATGGATCAAGCTGAAACAGCTGATAATTATTTAAATTGCATTGTACTTCCTATTACAATATGATTAAGAAGACTAATCCCTGCTGTTGCAAATGTACATATAAATAGATTTGTTTATTAGATATTTGTAAATAAATATTTCTATGAGAAAAAGTTCTTACCTGAGAAATTTTTGAGATACTAAACACAACCTCTAATATCTAAACTCTAAAGACATAACTCCAATTTTCTACACCTTGTTAATTGTTCCATCACATCATGATTTGAATAGTGAATGAGAAAGCATTATAATTTGCGAGACACAACAGGAAAGAGCAAGTTACAAAGTAAAGCTAAGCTTTACAAGCATGCCTGATAATGTTTTCCACCCCTTGTCTGGTTGTTAACCCTAGCAGTGGCCAATGTTAGAAGTGTGGAATGGCCAGTCCATTTTGGTGATTATGCAGACCTTTTTTTGAAAATTCGTAAAAATTCAACCGTAGAAGTAAACTTAGTCAACCTCATATTCCTTTTGTTCGAAAAGAATAGGAGATTTTAGAAATAGTAATATAATAATGATTTAGAAAGTTTTTTTCAGTAAAGTGAAAAGAATAAAAACTTTTTTTACGTGTTAGGTGCATAATAATGTAATACATGGAAAACCGAAAATACAACCGCAAAAAATACAACCTTTTATAAACACAATTTCACACTATTCAGTAAATATTCATGCATGATACAATGCATGAGATTACTGTTATATACACACTCACATTTCTCTAACAATACGGAATAATAACGAATTTAGTAATAAATCGTTGATAACACGAGAGCGAAAACACACAGGCAAAACAATACATGCAATGGAGAATACAAGGGACTTTGTGTATGAGACCTTGACAGTGGTGAGGTACTATCGTCGTCTTAGTGAGAGAAACCGGAAATAACCCTGAGTGCAGGGCTGCCACTATCACAAGCTACATTTCTTCCTCTTCAAAGACATATTATATGACTAGTAATAATAACTTACACTGTATGTAATTCATATTTTCCGTACTAGCGTATTACGCTGGTTGGCCATTTGTTATAAATTTCAAAAACAGCTGTTTTCATAAAATCGTACCTGTTGTGCAATCAATATTTCGTTCTAAATATCAATACCACAACGAAGATCAAATCAATGGCTATCCAGTGGTACCACCCGCAACATCCCAAGACGAAAAATACCCGAGCAGTGTAATGCCAAACAAGTCGTGTTTTGACAGTTCCCAAGTGTCAGCTGCCGCGCCAAAAATTCATTTGATTTCTAATCGTCGTGACATTGTTATATACCTGCTACAGGGTTTGTTTATATAATAAAATGAAAGTTCAGAATGTGATCTTTCGAATGGTATATATATTGTTCATATCAGAGTTGATTATAAGCGGTTTTTTCACCGTTAAAAAAAATTCAGCCCATACTAGCTTATTACTCTGGTGGCCATTCTAGGCGTCACGGCGAACGAGCGTATTACGCTCGTTGGCCACTCCTGGGGTTAAAGTATTTTCCCCTAAAAACTATATTTAACAAATTTGATCGAGCCTATATGTGTCAGTTACTAGAACACCACTCCACGATGCAATTTTATCATTGTAAGTTTTTTTAGTTTACTTGGTCCTGGGCCGTCAAAACACTTTTCGCAGATTTAAGGATTGAATAGTGTGCTTACATTTGTGGAACTAAAATAAAAGGATCCAACCCGCAGAGGGAATGCTCTGCAGGCTGTAAACCTTGGTATGCATCTCGACAGACAAATTACATACTATCAGCAAACGTAGCGTTTGAAGTGAAAACTACAAGCGCCACATTTTGGCGACATTGGTTTTAAGCGTGTGTTTGCATGTGATTGATCCCATTTGCTCCTAGGTACTTGGCTAATGCACGTTTGACAAACGCGGGGTCTACCGCCCTCATGTTAAACTGTCTTGAAATTTACTTATTGTTCTAACATAGAACAGGTTGTAAATAAATACAAAAAAAAGTTGATGTATTAGTAAAGGTTTGATAAAAGGTCTTTGATAATGAAGAAAAAAACAAAGGATTTGCAGAGTATAAAGAAAATTGGCAGATTAAAGTAAATGACCACACAGATTAATTATGATGGAATCAAACCTAAATTTTAGAACAAAAGTTGTTTTTTATTTGATAATGTCAATGTCATAGAGCTGGTGGTTGATCATCACTCTACATCACTGTGTAGATCCACTGAACAGACAGTGAGAATTAATCTGTATGGGAGAATTACCTCTTCTAAAAACCATACAATTATTTGCTTACAATACTAATGTTAGAAGAGGATTTGACTGAAGATGAACCTAATTTATTAAGGTGTGAAGAAATGTTTCAAGTAATGACATAAAAACTTTATTATCACGTTACAAAAACAACATTTCCACAAGGAAACACCGGGACCAACCTTCATTACAATCACAATCCAGCCGGACCCTGAAAAGATGTTTTTACCGATAATATATCATATATAAACAAGAAAAAATAAATATTAATCGATCAAGATTGCTAACAGTTTATCTATATTCACATTATTTATCAGCCTTATTTGTTAAACAAAAGTATACACAGTTACTCTAAGAAGCACAACACAATGTTCAAACAAACAGACGGAGATTCATCAGTAAAAAAATATAGGCACATTTCATTGATATTAACACTGAGTTCCATCTCGAATCACACACCTTAACACAAGATACAAACATAAGAGTTCGTTGTCAGAGACGACAAAGTACTGGCTGGGCTCAAGAGTACTGGCTGTGAACAAATGAGTTTGTGCTTCAACAGCAAACTTGAACAAGTACCGGTACGAGGTAAGCTACTATACAACTGTACACTGTACACTACCCTCACACATGTATAAATATATCTCAAAGTATCAACTCTTATATGATATATGAAAATACCTACAGTGGATGGATAGATAGGAACAATATCACAATGTTATAAGAAACATAACTGAATTACAGAACATATTATAATACAGACCACCATTTTTGCCGTTTTAAAAACTACAGTGTAGAGGTGGACAGGTAAACCGATCTGACTTTTTGTTTTTGGATACTCAGATTTCCTTAGATACTATTAGAATATCGAAATGCAATACATAAGTCTATGTTTATGTTATAAATGTTCAAACTTTGATAATAAATAGGTAAACGATACAACATGTTAAAAATAGTTTTTGCTAAAAACTGTAATTTGAAAGCAAAGACTTCTATTCAACTATTTTGCACTAATGAACAATAATTTCCACCTGAACTTAGGGTCCACTTTTAAATTTATAAGAGTTTAAGGGGGAATCAGTTGATGTTATTATTTTAAGGAATATTAAAGCAATATACTGGTATTTCATGTGTATCCAAAAATTATCTTTATAATAAAACTAAAAAAAACAAAAAAAACAGATAGTTATAAAAGATGGTATGAAATAAATACAGCTAACACACATTAAACATATAGGAAGCAAAGTAACCCACTAGACTTGACTTACATTATTCCATTTCCCTCTCATAACTGATTCCAGCAAAAACTAAGTAGGTTAAGAATAGTGATGTGTCGATATCAAAATTTATCGATTCTCGATACCGATACCAGAAAAATCGATTCTCTGTACCGATACCATTTATTTATTGTTGGAATTTTTTTTTCCAAATTTTCTGAATGGATTGGTTATATACTACACCAACCCCTATCTTTATGTCCTTCCATTAACAATTTTTGAGGAAATGGAGTTTTTTGCAAGTAAAGAAAGATTTATGCAGCAATTAAACATTCCAACTCTTAATTAAGTTTAACCCCTTCTAAAGCCTCCCTTCTTCTTGGTGAGTCGGTGGCTCAGTTGGTAGCGTCACGGACTTCGGGCCCAAGGCAGCGATGTCGTGGGTTCGGATCCTGATCACTGCCACTAAAATTTATCAGTACAGTTCACCTTTGTACTGTACCGGCTCACCCCTTGCTTTGCTGGATACGTTCCACGCACGGGCAGTTAGTCTATGTGGACGGGCAAATGCAAGGATAAATGAATTGATCTAACAACAAATGCCAAAAAGAAAGTGATATTATTGCGGTGTACCTGAAATATTCAGTCAAGCCAAATTAAGTTAGTCATCGCCAGTGGTTGTGGAGATATCATTTTTCTCTTCTGGGATCACTGCAAAGTCCGAAATATCTCCCACAATCACTGACTTTCGCGGTTGCAGAAAAATCATACCTTCCGCAGTCCTGAAGACAGCATCATCAACTCCAGCGGTTAAGGAAACATCATCTTTGTCGATCGTGGCAAAGAACATCTTCCAAGGCCGTCATCATCATCGTCTTTCGCAGTCATGGAAATGTTATCGTCGTCTTCCGCGATCACAACGAAATCACAAAAATCTTCTGAGGCTGTGTAGTTCGCTTATAATGATATATGGAAAAACCTACATTGGATGGATATAAAAGAACAATATCACAATGTTGTAAGATACATAACTGAAATACAAAAAAAGTAAGTGTATCATAATTGACTCCCTTGGTCACGAAAACGTCATCGTTGTCGTCCGCGATCCCTTCAATATCATAAATATTTCCTGAGGCTGTGTAGACGTCATCATCATTTCCCGCAGTCATTGAAACGTCATTGTCGTCGTCCGCAATGGCGGCAAAATCATTCAAATCTCCTGCTACCGTGTAGACATCATTGACTCCCGCGGTCACGGTAACGTTGTTCATTTCGTCGTCCGCAGTCGCAGCTAAATCACAAAAATCTTCTGCGGCCATGTAGACATCATCATTAACTCCCGCGGTCACGGAAACATCATCGTCGTCGTCTGCATTAGCGGCAAAATCATGAACATCTTCCGCTTCAGTGTAGACATCATCGTCGTCTTCCGAGATCACGGCAGAATCATTAACATCTCCCGGGGTCACGGAAAAGTCGTCATTGTCTTGCACGTTCGCGGGAATGTCGATAATTTTCCGATTGCACGGGGGTATCGGTATCGGAATCAACTTTTGATGATCATTTCTCAATACTGATACCAACGGTCAAGTATAGGTGGTATCGAGAATCGGTATTGAGAATCGACACATCCCTAAGAAATAACGTTAACTAACTAAAATCAGCACGATTAAAAATTAACTACTC